GGATAGCCTGAAAAGTTACGTTGTGGTATTTCACAACCTAGGCAGCAAGCTCATAGATTAAAGAAAAGCGCCACTGACCACGCATGTAATACACGAATACACGGGACTGCGAAGTGAAATATTTGGTTACTAAATCTCGGATTATCCTCTGTTTAATAGATGATTCGTTTATGGAGCAATGGCCCACTTTCGAAAACATTTGTCTCCCAGCTTATGATTCAGAGGTTGGTTTTCCTCCTCTATTCCATGGACGGGACAAGCTCTTGTGGATGTACCTGTGCAATAACCGAAACAGCACTTTCCCACCCGACTGCAAATGCTATGTTCTAGACCATATTTTAAAGGAATGTGACGATCACTGAGGAATTCATCTGATCTCTATCTCCTCAAAGTTACTTGCCACGAAAAGAAGCCTGCTTTCTATGAACAATGAACAATGATTTATCACGGGAAAAAAGCAAGTGCTTGACAAGTCCTGTAGGATGGTTCCGGTGAATATGATGAAATCAACATATGTGTGGGTCATCTGTCGAACATCTGCCTAGATAAATATTTCGATGAATTACATCAGTGTAAAATTTAAAATAAAATCGAGTGTAAACGTTCAGAAAGACACTGGGATGTAGTGATCATTGATATAAGGCGTGAGGAAAGTAAAATATGGTCGCTCACTTGGGTCTCTTTGATATATAAATCCTGTTGAAAAGCATGCTTGGCGTAATCCACAATAGAGGAGTTTAAGTAACGAAATGCTGGGAGCTAAAAGCAAGATCTAATGGTCTTTTGAAAACGTCCAAGATAGGAGAGGATATAACTGAGTCTGGGAGTGCGTTCCAGGGTTGGTAAACCCGATGCAAAAAGAATTCCCTCGTCACTCTTGACGGCCATATTGTGCCTACAATTTTAAGCAGCTACCCCTGAGCTGCGTGTTGTGGCTAAGTTTCAGCAAATTGCGGCATACGTGGTTGGGGTCACGCAATATCTGATACGCCAATATGAGATCACCGCGCAACCTTTGATAGCGTCCGCTGGAAACTCCCAGCAACTTCAGATTTCTGTGCTAAGAGTGATAGCGCATGCCATTTACGTTCTCTGTTGCTCTTGGTTGTGGTGCCTTTAACGCTTCCACGTGGTGCTTCAACCAAGTTTGCCAAGCTTGGATAGCGTATTCAACATGCGGACGCACGTAGGAATTGTGCATCATTGGAAAGATTGATGGACCAAATCTCCCAAATGCCCTTCACAGCATGCCGACGTGCTAGTTGCTTCTTTTCGAAGCTACCTCAGCCTGTTTTGAACAGTTGATGTTGGTCCGTACGATCACACTAAGGTCATGTTCTTAGGAGCAGTTCTGCAATCCGTTTGTCCCAAGTAAATAGGTGTACTTAATTCTATGGCGTAATTGTACGACGCGACATTTGTCTACCTTGAATGGCAGGGCGTTTTGATCTGACCAGTTCGACGCTGTGTTAAGAGCGCATTGGAGCCGTTCATGGTCGTCCGGTCCTCTGATCCTTCGCTATATCTTCATATCATCCACGAAAAATAGAAAATTGGAGACAATTGCTCTCGCCAAATAGTTAATGAACACCAAGAATAGACGAGGTCCAAGAACCGAGCCTTGTGATACTCCACACTCTACATCGATTGCATCTGGCACTGAGTCTCGGACTCTCACCGCTAGCCGTCGTTCATGTAGAAAATTGCTAGTCCAACACAGCATTGGGTCGCCAATGCAGTAGTTCCGAAGCTTCAGTAGAAGAATTCGATGGTTTAAGCGATGAAACCCTTTTGAAAATTGCAGGTAGATGACATTGTCTCCTGCTCCATCATAAGCGGATTCAATCCAGCTATTACGTGCAATTAGTAGGTTAGAATTCATGAATGCTTTCGACGAAAGCCATGTTACCCTGGAGCTATTAAGTTGTCGCTTTCTAGGTACTGCATCAGCGCATCTGCGATGATTGATTCCATCACTTTGGATAGTACGGGAAGTAGTGCTATTGGACGGTAGTTGGCAGGATCAGTGCGGCTGCCTCCATTATGGATAGGAGTGATGACCCCCGCTTCTATACTAGTAGAATATGGTTCTCCTCTAGACATCGCTGATAGAAATCAGCCAGTGGTTCTGCTAGATCATTAGATGCCGCCTGCATAGCCTTTGGTTGGATGTTGTCAGCTCCAGGAGAACTGTGGATACGCAAGGATAACAACTTCTTCAACACAGCTACCGCAATGAAGGTGATGTTGTCTAAACCAGATGGTGGAGTATTAGGAATAAGGAGAATGTTTAGGCTCATGACCTGCTGGAAAGTTTTGGAGTAGTGAAGCCGTAGGAGATCAACTGCTTCCATTGCTGATCGCGTGCACCCATCAGCCGTGACTAGTGTTGGTACCCCCCGCTTCACCTTTCGAAGGCCGTTAACGTGCTTTTACAGGAGTTTGCGGTTCGTGCAGAATCGCTTCAATAACTCCTGCTGATGAGTGACCTTGTCTTCGCGGACCTGTTTCACACATAGGTTACGGTGTGTCACGTATGCAGTCCAAGTTTCGGCATTCGGGCAGTCCTGGTGATCTCTCCATGCCAAATCCTTCCGAGATGTACATTTCGTCGAAATGGAGGCTGCACGGACCACATCTTCAGTTTATATCAGTTGCTGATACCTCACCACAAGTATTGGAGACAAAGTTTAGCCTCATTCCTAGACATCAGATGTGCCTCCGTGTCTACCGATGGATATGCCACCTGAAATGTGACAAGTTAGAAAATGTGAGTTCTTGAAAATGTGCTAAAATCTCCTTGCACATGTATTTAATGCAGTGACAGCGTACTACGAAATGTCGCCGGCCTTCAGTTTCTCCAACAATGAGAAAAAACGATTCTTGCTGTTGGTTTTCCTTCTCAGTTTCGTTATAGAGTAGGTTCTGGAGGCTGAATTTGTCGGACTCAACTTAGACGATAAGGTATTGCTCGTGTACAGACCTGCCAAGCAGCGCTGTCCTATGTTTCGCTCCTTCAAATTAAAAGCATTCCTCCAGGACTTATATGGGTTACCCCCTGCGCTGATCCTCCGTGGGGATCAGCTAGAATTCGTTCAGAAATACAACTACCTGGGCAGCCAGATAAGTGTTTATGTGATATCGTGTAAGGTATCTGATCATACAGGAATAATCGAGGCGCTTTTGTTAATCTCCGCAGCTTATCCCACCGGTGCGAAATAACTGTCGCTCCAAAGTGTGGATTCTATGGTGTTACCGTACGTTTAACTATCATGCATGGTTGCGGTGAGTGGCTTGTTAGGTCGGCAGAAATGAAGAGGTAGATTGCTACTGGTTACCGATGCGTTCACAGTCATGATGAGTGTGTTCGCCGTCACACTTCTGATGCAGGGGGATAAAGTGAATCGCTGAGCTCCACTACTTGGGCAGGGGGATGAGAACGATATGAAGTGGACTCCCTAGACTGTAGTTTGGGCGAAAGTTGTGGAGAGGAGACTAGCCGATGTACTTAGAAAGTAAGGATGTAAGCATATAGATGTTAGCAACAGTCTGACGCTTCGAAATTAAGTGTTCTTGTCACTACACGGATCCCGGATAGGGACACTTAAGTACAGATCCAAGATCTGAACTTATCTACATCTGTGCAGTAATTAGCTTTGTCCACTAACTTCCGGCAAAATCTCACTACCGATGTAATAAAAATAGAGCATACTGTTATCTGTACTGTTATTTCACTTGCTCTTCACTGCTTTGCGATAATGTAAGTAATTTGCACTGTAAAGCAATGGCGGAATTGGTTCTCAGTTCTAGCTAACGTGTGTGATCATGCTAGCGATGATGATTTTGAATTAGAATGATAATTTTGGGACAAATGGCAGGTGGTTAGGTGCGACGGTGCTCGTGAGAAACCAACCATATCCGCTTAAACATTCCGAAGGAACTCCACTGATGGATGTACCTTAAAAAATTGGTCTGCCAGATAATATACCTTCCAGTAGACTCAAGGGCAACGTCACAGACGAGACAGAGAAGACTTCACACAGTGACTAGTGTAGTGATTTGGCTGTGGGACGACAAAAGACCGGTACCCATGCCGACTTGTCAGACGTACTGTTACTCGTAATGCAAAACTTTTGCAGTACCTAAGAATCCAACTAGTCAGCTTACGTATAACAAGTAGCAGTTGCAAAATAGGTCATTTTGCATCCTATTTCTATGGTGGCGTATTTGTATATCCGATCCATTTTCCAAATAGTGGAACGTCTGTGACCTCACACTGTTTGGTGTGCGTGTGTATGTATGTATGCCATGCGTTGTGGTTAATACCGGTATCGCTGTTGTTATTTTTACCACCGTTTAGACAAGTCAGTGGCTCCATAACAGTCTCTGAAACACAGCGGTGCAACGCTGCACTCCGCCACTGTCATTCTACTCGTTTACATTTGTTAAGTACTAAGTTAAATGCTGGACATAGTAGTTGATGACCTAGGCCTACACCCTGTCGCCACAGAGCCGCGGTAGCGCCTGCCACCACGGTTAACTACTCGTTCTGAAGCTCAGGTTATAGGGATGGATTTCGACAGCAGTTTCAAATTGAACCACGCTTACCACTGAATTTCATTTATTGAGATTTCCTTCAATAAGAATCGTGACCCAGATTTATGTGATGCATATTATGTGTCAGAATCCATCCATGCGACGGGTGCTTCGGAATAAACCCTCAGATATTGTTTAACGGTTGAGACAAGAGTTGCCCCCCCCTGCGACTGTGGAACGTGAGGGCAAAGGCCTGAGTCAGAAGTCAATATGTCTGTGTAACTGACAACCTTCAGGTTATAAAGTTAAAAAATTTTATTCGTCGTGTAACCTTGAAACTACGAATCAAATGTTGCAGCACCGGACCTTTGAGAGAGGCAGTTCTGTCCTACGGTCGGATACCGGTAATGTTGACATTGGCTAATCAATATGATATTATGTTAGGTATTTATCGCTTGCAAATTCAACCATCGATAACAGGTGCCGTTTACATTACCGTATGTGAGCGGTGCACCATACACGGACACACTTGCAGGCATTTCGCTGCCCACAAAGTCACGGTGGTGAGCTTCGCCAATCAGATTGCCCCAACACACTTGACCTGACACCACAGGGCAGGTGGGCACTCGATGGATATAAATACGAAAGATGAACAAGGTGGATCACCAAGCATGCTTCAAAAGCCGATGGATCATATATATTTAGGTGTGAATACAGTGTCCGTACTCATTGTGTTGCTATTGTTCAACCCGCAATCATGTTTTGGATTCAATAGGTTGTTTGCGTTTGAAGAACCTTTTGGATCAGACAGCGATGGACAAGTGGCTTCATTGACACTTCCAACAGTTCAAGATAGGTTGGAATTCCAACCGACTCTTCCGGTGCCGGTGCATGGGAAACAGTTCGACAGACTTACGGTCAGTTTCTACGAGTTGTCTAGGCCAAATTAACTGCACAGCTGACGAATTAATTAATTTGAATGCATATATATATATATATTTATATTTATATATAAGCAGGGTCCCATGCTGAGGCTGATGTTGCATTCTTGATGCTTCTTCACCGCAGTTGGGCTAAACCAACTTACACTTAAACTAGGTCTTTTTAAGGTGGATAAATTTCATTCCGCTTTATTTGGTATGTTCTGCCTCCTGAATAATGTTCTATTAACTGGCCACGTTGCTTACACTAATTGCGCTTATCTTCGTTACTTTTGTTGCGTTTGTAGCATTTTAAGTAACTTGTGGACATTTCTTGCTTATCACAGATTTGTTGCTGACCAACTTACTTCATATGGTAATTTAGCGAAGAGTTATGCCAGTGTATCTGTATGCATTATTGGATTTATTTTATTACAGCTTGTCGTTTAAATTGAATGGCTGTTGTTTGATATCCCTGGTATGGTTGCGCTTGATGTGTATGTTGACAAGGTGCCTACCTGTCTATTACCCACTACCTCGTCCATACTGGCTCCAGGAGACAGTTGGTCGTTGCTGGAGGGGACGGGGTGCACGGTTCTTGTGGCCGTGCTAGGCTCAAAGAGCGGTTCCATGCACTCAGTGTGGAGCGGACTACGGTCCAGCCACCGCCTTGTGTGCGGTTGATTCCCCAAATACAGCGTGCTTGTGTTTGCCTGTGAAGGAGTGTGGGCCGGCTCCGTTGATGAAACGTGGTTCCCATCCGCATGCCTCCCGGTCTTATTCCTTCGGGTTTACACTGGATATGGGGTATGTGGTTGGAGCTGTGGGTGGTGCAGCGCAAGCCATCCATGGTCCGTCTGTAGGCGCAGGCGTCCTGTGGCTTGCCACAGTGACAGGCAAATCCGAAACCGGATGCCGCCAACCATATATAAGCAGGAACAATTCAACTGAAGGGATAGGGAGGGCACAACGTATAATGCTGCAGTTCTCTATGTTTGAGGCTGTGCGAAACCTTTCCTCCTTCAGGAAAGTTCTTTGTTACGCAGTGTACTGAATGTTAAATTTCTTTCTGACGCTGGCAGGTTTTTAAAAATGGTTTCATTGCACTTGATGATGAATCCGCTCGGCGTTGCGCGATAAACTATCCTGAGAATTCGCTCAACGATGGGAGACGTCTGAAGAATGTTGGCGAAAACTACCTCAGCGTATTCAGCTCGGTCAATGATGGTCCCTCAGGCAGAGTCGTCATCAGGTAAGGGTTGGAAAATGACCACAATTGGCCCTCTCTTCCTGTGTGTGCTCGCTCATTCACCTTTTCAAAACGCGTGGTCCTGTCCAGGTGTGTGAAATGTTAACCCATCATGATGACTGTCAGACTACTTTGAAATGCCCAATGAGCAGGGAGATGTGAATTAGGGACTACAAAAAGATGTTTATATTATTTCCTGAAGATATCTCTTGAAAGCTCTCAGTTCAATGACCTTAAGAGAACAAGTAGTCACAGTTGGTCTGAGCGAAACTGTACCAGCATATTCTTAACAGCACAAAAGGCTGCTCTTCTGCATGTTCGATTTTATACTAGGCTCAATAACTGTGATCTTGACACCCGCTTGCTTCTCCCCAACAGTCTTACATATACTTTGTCGTTTGCTGTATAGGTATACTGACTCAATTGATGAGCAAGGCTCAATAAGGGGACCGAGTTTAATAAGGGACAAATAATTGGCTCTTCATGGTCAATTTTTGGAAAATTGGGGGAATATCGCCTAAATTACAGGGGGCCATTGCGCTGATATGCTTAAGTTTAAATTAGTATTTCCCACCAAACTTCCTCCAAGTTTATATTGAATTTATCTTTATGGATTGTCGTTACATGGTTTAATCCCTTACAGTTTGCAGTGATTTAACACTGAATGAAGGAAGATATTTTGTGAAGCCCTTGCCTATACAACTGTGGCGTCAGTTAGATGTCAGTCGCAGCGCACTTCTTCACAAGGTGGTTTATCGAAATGCTCCTCCCTTTGAGTTAATAACAATAGCCAAATGAACATGTATTGAAATAATAGAGGCACCATAAAGTGGAAAAGCTTACCTTTACTGACATTCATGTTACACTTCCTATTGCACTTCCGCTGGCGCCAAGAAGACATTGAACTTAAAACCCTAATTACGTGCTGCATTTCCTCTATAATTGCTTTCTTTTTATTTTACGCGTATTTCCCTTAACTGTTGATGATAAATGAAGTAGTCAGTCCAGAAAGCACGGAGGTGTTTCAATCAATCCTCAAATTGCGTATTACTGATTGCATTGTATTTCGATGGTTAAAACTTACATATCGGGCCGAGACGAACTCCACTCTCTCTGGTAACTACCATTCCCAGTCGTCTGTCTGGTAAAGGATATTGTCCTAGGTAGCAACAAGCTTACCGTTGGGACTACCATATCCGTTAGATCGTTTTACCGCTTCCCAAAGGAATACAGCTTGATAGTTTTAGTAAAGAGTGTAGAATTGCTGATTGCTAATGCAGTGACAGACATGTCGTGTAAGGAGCCGCGTGACGCACAGGCATTTGCAATGGAAAAAGCACTGTGGTTTTCAAATGTTACAAGTGAAACAATTCTATCATGATGAAAAGACATTGTTGCTTCCGTCCACGCGGAAATTTTAACTAGCCTAAGCCCATAGTCTGCTATGCCATCCAGTTGTTCGCAATCGCCTTTCGTACACACAACACGTGTCGGTTTTCTTTGTGCATTTAATCACCTGTCCCGGTCCAATTGTTATATCACCGACAAACCGTGGCAAATGATGAAAGCCACATAATATGCTGCGCAAAATCGGTCTAACATAGTATATCTTTTTCACCCGTAGGTTGCAAAAGGAAACGTCAATAGGGTTAAAACACCTGTGTGTATTCGCAATTTAACTATTGTTACCTAAGTTCACCTTTGAAAACATGACCAACGTCTCTACTGCTATTTGTGTCCGTAGACTCTAGCACGCTGTCTATTCACGCGGGCCATAAGTTCCTCGAAACAGACAAACGCAGTACGAGTCACAGTTAGTCGAAATAAGACAAGCGCTTTTGTTTATTGAATCTGTGCATGGTATTGCGGCAGCAGACAAAAGGGCTTCGTCTATACCTTCTTGACATTAACGGGCATTTAGATGATATGAAAACAAGTGCGGTGTCAAGCAAAATTATGTTATGTAACAGGAACAACATCCGCTTATTTTGTAACCTTTACCAACTGTCCTCTGGGTGAACTTATATGAACTAACGTCAGAAGCGTTGCTCATGTAGTCGCTGAGAACGTAATGTTTGCAGGACAAAGGGACTAGTTAATATGATAACTATTCCCGAATCCGGATATCATGTAAACTAATTAGATACTCGTCATGCCGCTTAATATCGTGGTGTGATTATTCGCCCATTATCAGTAATAACATTCCTATTATTATTAAGTGCTTCCTCATAATTTAGGTTAATGAGAGAATAGTCGAAGCCTGGGCTGCACTGTTTTGTGTGCTTATGCTGAGTGTTCATTCAGTATCCGGTAGGAGAAGCAACTTCCAACATTGAATGTGTGGAAATTTCCGAATAAGACGGTCCTTGTGGATCTTCCCATGACAGACGTCCTGGTGTAGTGCTATTCTGCTTGGTTCAGCTACTTTATCCATACTTATTCGGATTGCTCTCTTCGCTGACTGAACTTAAGTATGTGCAAGCTACTTGGAGGCTTCAGATCACACTTAATAACCTTGTCTCTGCAACGAAAATATTGTAGGGAAGTTAATCTCAATGTCACTGAAGCCATGGGTTGCGCAAACCGAATACAAATTGAACGACTCCAGAAGCTCATTCGCCTACATTACTCAAAAATGGAAGGCTACGCAATTCGATCGATAATCTGGATCACATGGGAAAATATGACTAACGCTCAGTACCAAAACTCTAAGGTAAGTGGCCGTGTTCAAATGATGTCTTAGCTGATCGTAAATTCCTTCAACTTTCAATTCAGACATTCTACTGTGACTTTAATTCCTTTAATTAGCTCATATATTCCGATTCTGTCTGTATGCACTGACTGACAGCATTATATCTGTGGTTACTTCTTCATTTGCATCTTTCTTGTCACACCCTGGAAAAACCGGTGGTACTGATACCGTCAGATTTTTATTGTCCATGTCACTGCAGCACCGGTTTGGTAACGATGCAATCTCAAAGAAAACACCGCCCGAACCTAAATTCTGTGCATCCCCACAGAGCTAATATCATATCTACAACCAATGCAAGCTAGGGCTCAAAGCTGTAAGAGTATTCGTTAACTAAAAATACCAGCGGGATTGCTGCATCCAGCGTACTAACTACAGGCAGGCTACCACACTCATAAATCATCTGTATTGAAATGGCGATTATCAAGGCTAAGCGAATAGCAACAGAGACAGTCTTTGTATTTCGGTGTTAAAAATGAATGAACCGGAGCAGCGTGGACTCTCGATCATGTAGGTAATGGGTTCATTACAATGGGCGAAATTATTACAGGGCAGCCTGTACTATCCGTGCACTTTGCCCATTTCACGGGCCTCAGATTTATTCGGACGAGATTGGACGACGTTTAGAACTTGAGTCACTTGGCCCTCCGTTTATGTGTGTAACTTTTCACTTTGATTTGACAAATTATTTTGCACAATACAAGCCATTTATTACAAACGTACCAAATATTTTTCTAGAATGCACAGTACTTTCGCAGTTGGACCCACTGAGCGTATCAATGTTGATGCAGAAAATAAGCACACTTCACAGTGGGTGTTTAAGGTTTTAAGAAAGTGCCGATTTTGGTCTTCCTGAAGCCACAAGTAATTAGAACAGCTTGGCAGTATGCATAGCTCAGGTTCAGACCAAGCACTTAACCGTCGTTGAGCGGAGGTGCACCGAAATCTGAATTGAGTTGAATATACTTGTTGCCACTTGTGTGCATGAAGATTATGACACGCGATCTTGCTAAGGCCAGCCATTTACTCGGAAGTGAACTTAAGGCAATTCGGTCACTCATACCACATATAGAACAAAGAATGGTTACATTTTGCCACTCGGTAACGCTTCAGTCCGCAACCGCTTTTGCACTAATCTGCCCTCACCAGGTGGAGATAACAGGGGCGAACCTCTAACCGTGGGCCTTTTAGGGTGTTGGCCGAAACCTCTACCCCTAGACCAATAATTTGCGGTTGACAAAGCTCCTCCCCAAAGGTACTAGATTCGAGTTGCAGTCGTCCTATCCGGATCTGAAAAATGTGCATAATTCCAAGCAGAAAAACCAGAAGACGTAAAATGTGAGATGACTTAGTCAATTTGTGCAGACTCTTCAATCACAAATCATGCAGAAATAATAGCCATACAGAACGCAGTCATAGGAGATCAATCATTGGCCAATAGTTACGCCTCAAGCACTACCGTAGTTTCTTATTCACAGCCAACTGTTTCGGCACACTAAGCAGTGACCGCTCTCGATCGATTGCGATAACTTGCAATAGCCTGAACTTGGGGCCGCTGACTACGCATCAAGACGGTGGATGACTCATCGGGGTTAACTAGTTGGCCGGGGCTCAGAAAGTGCTTTGTGATTGCCGAGGCAGGTCGACTGCCTTATCCACCCGACTCCGCCGTCGTCGAACCTATCCGGCTGCGTAATCATTTAAGAATGTGCCCATTGATCCTGATACCTAAACTTCGTTAAGTGTTTGCGCTATGGTTGTATCCGCAGCTGCAGGTAAATTGGTGTAAGCAATGGGACATGCACATGAGCCTACCGTGGTGGTTGAGGCGTGACTATGGGCTGCTATTGATCTCATGTGACTGCGTTCTGTATAGCGATGATTTCTTCATGGTTTGGGATTTAGGAGCATGCTAGATATGACTGAACCATCTCACAAGTCACGTCTCCAGGTTTTTCTGTTTGGAAGTTAGAAAAGGAAATGCCTGTTTTAACTTTCGATAGTTAATAACTTAGAAACAAATCACATAGTGCAGAGCGTACAACATCTAAGTATCGGCTGTTGTTCCCACCGGAGACTGAATAATTAGTATGCCGAACCGCCATTTAACTCGAATAAAGGAAGCATAAAGTGTCATCAACTTGATGACGCCAACATTTAGCGAATGGCTAAAAGGTAGACAAGCCGAGGAGAAAAATCGCAGGGCTGAAACAACCTGCGCACTCGGACTGAAACTTCTCCCAACTAGTCTTACACGCTTTTCACGGAATCCATCATCTCCACACGTAGGGAAACCTAGGTTACTGCGAATAACGTTTGACAACACATGCGACCTAAAGGATTTTCTCTCAGGTAGCCGCATTTTAGTGAACAATTTTGTCAGTGCCCGCCTTTTTTCTGACAGGCCATGGGTAGAAACAGAGAAGCGGAAATCCAACCCTAGTTCGTCGCGTCAAAATGAGATGAAGATAATGGTACTGATTTATGGTGTGCCAAAATTGAAGTATGACGATAGTAGTAAACGACAGAAGCGCGACATCGAAGAATGGCGGTACAACACATAGCTCTACGACATGCAAAATGTGATGGCGTTTGACGTCACCCGTTTAATTGCCTCCACAAACTACCAAGGCAGCGGGCCACAAATTTTGAAAGTTACCTTGGCTGTGCTTGTAATGATATCAGTGGCAATCCAAGCATGGTATGACAACAGGAAACTTGGACCATCAGAATTACAGCTAAGACCATTCCTTCAATTAGTACAGACTTCAGAATCAGATGTGCCAGTCTCGGTTGTACCTGTCTCAGATCAGTCAACCGTTCAAACAACCTTTTCAAAAATTTCAGCATACCGGCACTATTTGTGCCGGTCAGTCACAGCGAGTGAGTCAACAAATACGATGCTGTTACACCAACACTCTGTGGTTGTATTCTAAGCTCTCGGAAATGTACCATCGACAGGAGACAACTACTTGGGACATCATAGTAGTTACTGAAACTTGGCTTTCAAACGACATATTCGATCCAGAGATTGAACTTAGTGCGATGTCAGTCATTCGAAATGATCGTCCATATGGCGGTGGCGATGTTGCCCTCTACTATCGAGATTACTTGAAACTTGAGTTCCTTACCGAAAATTCCCTTGTTATTCGCGACGAACTATTTTGCCGAGAACACCTAGCAGGTCGAGATGTTGGTTCACCGAAGACGAGTGATGCTTGTCTCTTATCAGTTATCTATAGGCCTCTGAACTCGTCAGCAGAAAGCGATAACATTCTGTTAAACGCCCTCCGCTATGCCGTTTCACAAAAGTACTCTCACTATCTTATAATGGGTGACTTTAATGTTCCTTCAATAGCATCAATGTCCCCTAATGGGTCATCATTTAAATCGAAGCTCCTTGTATTCATGGATATGGCAGTTTTGTATAACCATGTGCATTTACCAACCAGACACAGCAGTTCAAAAATGCCATCACTCCTGGACTTAAGTCTGACTAATGAAGAGTTGATGATTGAGTTAGTAGCATACTATCCTCCACTCGGTCGTAGCGACTATTCAGTTCTTACATTTAGTTATGTGAGCTATGCTAGTATTGTTGATAAAGTAAGAGCGACGCGACGAACTCTTACGGACTATTTTAAGCTGTACAACTTAGCAGCGACCGTTGACTGGGACCTACGGACGCACAACTCAGCGAACGACGCATGGAATGAACTGAAAGACAAAATTAACTGGGTCATACAATCAGCATCGAAGTTTGTGCCATCACAAGCATCGCGCCGGACCAATACGTGAATCCGAAGTAGAACACGTAAATGGATCAAATTTAGTGATGGAATCTGGAGGCTACATTCGCTAAACTCGTGTGACACCACATGGGAGAATTGCAAAGCAATCAGAAACTACTGCACGTCGCTCATTAGAAGTCGATATGTACGTATGGCAGGAGACCGTGGTGCTGAAATTTACGAGTAACGCCAAACTACTATAATTTATGAATGGCAAAAGGAAGATAAAACCCGGAATATTACCACGTAAGACGGCCAGTGGCCTAACGACTACTGTTGTGAATGTCGCGAACGCCCCACCCCTGCAGTTTGACTCGGTAGCTATAAATACCATGGAATCTTCGTCCTATCAAATCTCAAGAAACATCGTTGGTTTATCTTGCGTCACCTTTACCCCAACAGCAATTGCAAGCAAATTACAGTCTCTCCGGGAGTACAGTGCCTCAGGAATCGACAGAATCTGTCCAAAAGTGCTTAAAACCCTCGCTCCCACCGTAGCAGCACCACTTGCAACCTTTTTCCAGGATCTGCTTAACTCCCTGTTATGACGCCCAGTACGTCTTCATCTCATGACCGCAAGAAGAAGTCCAAGATGAGCCGGGATGAACAGATTTTCCATTACAGCACGGCACCAGTTATATAGCTTTACAAACAAGGGCGAATCCAAGCTACTAAACGCATGAGATCCAACAGGCATGGAGAAAACACAAAATGGAACAAGCAAATGAGAATCGCGAAAATTACGAGCCAATGAAGTGCGGCAAAGAAAATAGTGTCTGCCGAGTTAATCCCTGGGGGTAACCTTCTGGTGAGCGACCATTAAGAACGACGCTTAGCGTCCAATCAGTGTGGAGAAGTGATGCGTTTAAACAAATGCCAGAACAGTTGATAGTGAGAATGATATACACCAGGAAAATAAAAACAGGTATAATAAATATGTGTCGGCTGAATAATACATCCACGTGAAAAAGCTAAGGAACGCTGAGCAAAAGAAACCAATCAGAATGTCCACAGAATGAGACGGCTGAAATTAGCTGTGAGCGATTGCGAATGAGGCTAAGGAAAGCGGCGTGTCCAAAATGTAGCAGAGAAGCAGGTAACTGCGCAAACAAAGAAATAGGCAACTAACATAATTCATAAAACTGAGGGTTAAGTAGCCAGCTCCCCAACACT